ACTTTCCAAAAAGCTTTTTCACCATTAATCTGTATACTCATTTATTACTCAATGAAGTGTCACAGTAAGGGCAATAAAGTTTAAATACTGCTATTAAGGAAATAGAACTCTGTACTTCCTATTATAAATCTGTACTGATTTCAATAGTTATCCTAAGAAAATATAAACTACCTCAAAGAAGGAACTACTGGGTCTGAGACTTACTGATCAGTTCATGCCTTACAAATAATAAGATAATTTTCTTGACTAGAAACATGACCACCTGAACGTCTCAGAACATCAAACCAAACTGCATTTTTCAGATTAGCATATCATTAAAAAAAGGGAAAGTGCTATTTATTACACCGTTCCCATTGTAAGATCACTTCTATGCAGAATACATTTGCAACTAAAGTTGCGAACACACACAGAAGGAAGTTACTTCAAATCCAACACCTTCCAGATGGCTCGCAATTTTAACTGGAACCTCCATCTCACTGGAGTTAACACCACTATGGGATTGTTTTAAATAATTATCTGAGAGGTTGTGTTTGTATGAAAATATAGTTGAGCAAGGCAGCAGATAATAATCCTCAATGAATGAAGCTTCCATTGCACTCACTGCTAAAGAGTGCTAAAGCCCAGCTTAGAGCCACCTAAAGCTTGTAGTACCATCAGCACTTCAGAGAAGTTCCAACATTTTTCCTCCTTTATGTTCAAGCTTAGACTTCCATTAGCATAAAATCTACAACATATTTGTTCATTTGCCAATTCTGACAGATTTTATCAACATACATGCTGTGGTTTTCTTCAAAGTAGTTTTTAAACATCCTAATTCAAAAGCAAGTGTAAACTAACATACTTCTGTATAAGTGTAGGCAATATGAACAGGAAAAAGGTAATATGAATAGAAGAAGATGTGAGAGGGCAGTATCTTTAGACTAGTTTAAATAGTTAGACCAGTTACATCCTGGTCTCTTGTTGAAAGCACTACTCACATGAAAACCAATGAGTGTCACTGGAAATTTGCTGTAATGTAATATTAAGGATTAAAACCATGTACCATTTGTGATACAGCTGCATTATGAAAAGATTAATTATAATTTATTTTAGCCTAGCTCTCACCAGTGTCTTCTAATACAGAGCTTCATTCTTAAGGATGATGTAATTGCACCTTAAGAAAAGCAATAATTTACTAATGGGATATCTATAAAATTGCCTTTGTTGAACTCTCACAAAGGAAGCTTTCTAATCTCAAATTAGCTGTGTTTAGCAATACACTTTCAAAATAACCACCACTAGTGACAGAATAAGGTGTATTTTTCATCCCACTGAAGACGAAAAAAGACATAAATATGAAAAAAATGTTACTTTAGATTGCAGAATAATACTTTGAAATGCTACACTTGGAACCAGGAACTCAGGATCTGATATATTCAGCTCTTAGGTTTCAATGACAGACAATGTTAATGAAAAAAATCACTTAAACTACCATAATTTATAACCCACCAGTTTAAAAATACATCTGCAATTGCCTACAAAGCATTTTGGAGATTTATAGATGTAAAGTATTTAACATTAAACAGCATCAGATTACACTCAAAATTCACTTAGCATTGAAGAGGACACACTAAAATTGGAAGAGTTAAAACCCACAACCTCCCTAAATAACTAAAAATAAGCAGTCAGTTAAACAGTCTCCTGAAGTTGGGTTTTAGGTACTGCAAGTACTAGATTACCTATTTTTACTTACCATTATCTTCTGTGCAGTCAGATGTCACAGTCTATTCTACTGGCTGCGCAGCAGAATTAAGAATGCATTTCCTTAGTGCAAAGGGAAGTGGTAAGATGCAGTGTCTTTTCTACATGTTAGTGACCAAAAGAAATAAATGTATTATTGTACTCACTGTGCAGAGATAGTGAGCTGTCCCCATTATCATTCTTAGACTAAAGGGAATCAAGCTTTCTGACACTGCCAGCTTTACTTAAGTGGCTGTCAGAAAATAAGTGTTGGCTTTTGAGTAGATACAAGTTTTGTGAATCTTCAGGAACAAAACAACTCTTGGAACCAAAATGTATCTTGTGATTCAAACAAAATATTCAAGCTGTATTTAACTACCTACACACTATGACTGTGTTTTCTAGACTGTCACAGATGCTTTTTTTTAAATTTATTTTTAGATTTAGTCAAGACGTCCAGGTACCTGATAATCTAAGGAAGCTTTCGTGAAGATAGGTTTAAATAATCAGTGCAATCCAGCATTGCCAGATGAGCTCAGCTGTGTGACATGCACTTCAGAGCTACCCATTTAGAAATACATGTTTGCTGAAAAAACTAGTAACCAGTTATATACTGGCAAGGAAAATGTATTATTACATGAGATCATCACCCCTCTCTCCAAACTCTAAGTAAACTAACAAGCTAGTTCTAGTGGCACCTTTCAACAAATCAATCTATTTTAACAGTCAAGGCAATGGAGCACCAAAGGAAAGTTGGGGATTTTGTAACAGAATTAAGTATAATTAAACACTTCCAAAGTGTTGACCAGATGACTATGTGAAATGGGTCTCCCAGAAAGAAGTTCAACATCAGATCTTCTAGGAAGCTTTGTTTGTTTGCACTAGATGGCTGTAAAGCAGTAATTAATAGTTTATTCCTTCTCCCCCACTACCTATCAAGGTGAGGATCAAAGGATCTTCAGTTCTACTTCCTCTCCTGTTGCCACATACAATTTTTATCTGACAAAGTACACTCTGGTGTTTCCTCTGCCCAACTAATGCAACTAGCTAGCCCCTGCCAAGAGATGTCATGTGCTGGTGCTGGAGTTAATTCAGCAAGACGCTTGGCAAGAAAAGTCTTTTGAAGTCTATCATAGCCAGTCATAAAGCTGGGATTTAGAAGCTTCAAGCTATGAACATAAACTCAAGCTCCAGCTTCACCAGTTGCAATTCTCAGAGCACTGAGTAAAGTTTATTGCCTCCTTCCAAACCTTACTATTCCATTTTAAACAACATTTTCCACTAACTTTTCACTAATGCAAACAAGGGGGTAACAGTCAATTTTGTGGAAGGCATCAATTTGTACACACTTCAGAAAATGCTACATGTGTTTATGCCCATGTTGCCTTTCAGTTTTATTTCTTAAAAAAAAAGTTTCCCCTCACTATTGTACGGAAGCACCAAAATAGCTGCTAGGCTGAACAGAGAAGAACTACCAAAGGCACAAGGAAAAAAAACTTGCAGCCACATATAACATTACTAACCTGAAATATTAGGTTGGTAATCCTATCTTCACAGGGGGCTAAGTTCATCTTAGACTATGTCATATCCATCACCCCCAACAAACAGAATTAGTATTCCTTCTATTAGATTTTAAGACAGTATTTAGGCAAGAATTGTACAACACAGAAATTCAGAACCTAGTCTTAGTATCTGTAGTAACAGCCTTCCTCCAACACTAAAAGCACAAACTTAAGTTCCAGGTCTGAATCAAGTCTTTCTAAAAACAAACAAAAAACCCAAACAAAAAAAAAAAAAAAAAAAAAAAAAAAAAAAAAAAAAAAAAAAAAAAAAAAATACAGTTGCACATCCTATGTGAAAAACCCTTTAAACAAAAATGAGTATTAAAACAACAGTATAATTTAAAAAGCTGTGTATTGGAGTGTTTATAAACCAGAAGTGTTAAGCAGCAGCAGTTTCTGATTTCTTACTAAATTCAACTAGTCTTCAAATTTAGCAACACATTACATACCAATGTGAAACTATGCAAGCTTCAAACCTTTGCAGGTATTTCAGTAAAGAAAGCCTCCTATAGGAGTAAACAGAGGCAGCGTAATACATTAAGTCAACACTTGCCTACAACATGCCAAAAAGAACCGTTATGTGTCTATTTATCACCAAAGCACCATAAGAGATGCATTATTGCTGTAGAACATTTCAAGTTTACCAACACCCAAGTGCAACCAAACCAATGTTGTATATATGCACTTGCCCATTCTCACCAGCATTTTCACTTAATGAATGTTGGGTTGGTTTTTTTACACAATCAAATTTAAAGCTCTGAAAATAACTTTTTTTGTTGTAGTTTTTCTTTTCCCACAATAGTAATCACGACATGCAATTTAGTTTTCTGATCATTTTGCTAAAAAACTGCACCAATATCAGAACAGTGCAAATCATATTTAATTTTAAAAGTTGTAATGGCTTGAGTTCATAATTAGAGGGAACACTGTCAAGACTGCAATATTTTGCTCACTCACCATTGCTTGCAATCCATTAAAAACAAGTTTTCCTGTCAATTTTGTATTATTTTTTTTTTAAACAATAGTCCCCCCCCATGCTTTTATCAGAGCTGAAATTAAGGATATAATCCACAATTTCAACACATGTAGTGGCCTTAACAGAAATGCTTTTACATACTTCCATCATCTGTTACAATTCCATAAGTAATTATCCCCCACAGACACATTTCCAGACTAAGAACTAGTCCCTAGCACTTGTGATCCCACAAGTGTTAACATTTTTCAGCAATGGAGAGATTTCAAGATTAAGAAATCTGAGGACTTCCCCCTTCCTACAGCCCCCATTTTTTTTTATTTTATACCAAGTTCAAAATTGGTTTCCACATCTTGACAGTGTTCCTTATAAAACCATATGACAGTAAAAGTGCCAGTTGGCGTGGCAACCTCTTTGAAGGGAGCATTTTAACTCCTTGGCACTGGGAATGCCAGCACCAAGGATTACATTGAAATTCAAAATTATACTTAAGGCTACAATTAGCAATCCCACTTTCCATAAGCCTAGTAGTATTCTATCACTGGATTTCAAAATTCAGAAGCTAATGCAACTCTTACTTTTTAATGCTCAAATCTGAGGAAAAAGTTACTTTTCTTTAGCAAGGGCAGTATATGGAACTGGTAGCAAACGTCTCTTATGCATTGACTACTCATTTTCACCATCATTCACTTACTTTGTCTTTAAGTTCAAAACTGGCAAGGCACATTTACATATTCCAATGAATACTTGACAATTTAAAATTACACTTCATGTCCCAGCTATCCCAGTAATTGACATACAACATACTAAAATGGTTTATTAAGATAACAAAAAAAAAATCAATTAATGTGAAACATACAGGCTATTGGCAACCACTATTCTAAAAATTATGTAAATACAAGTAAACATACTGAAATGTGTGCGATTCTAAGTTTTTAACCAGAAGATCTCTGTACTAACACACATTTATATTAATGACACATAAAAAAAATAAAAACTTTATTACAAAAATAAGTTACACTCGCCTCCTTTTTTTTATGATAGTTTGCCATGAGCATTTTCAACATATGACATGTCTAATTTTGTTAAAATTTGCATTTACTGGGGGAACTGGTGTGTATAAAACCTTAATTAGGTATAAGCTTCAATTTTCATTGTGGTGCCTATGGGTATGTAGTATAACTGCAGTATCCCTTTGGGCAGGGGGTTAAGGGAAGCTCTTTATGCCAAGTCCAAGGTAAGTCATAATTTTATCTATCTTTTACCTATGTGAAGTCCGACTTGGCAAGGTTCTTTTTGCTTTGTCTTTTTTTAAAGGTGGTTCAATAGAGGATGCTTCACCACTGAACACTCACTGTCATCAAGGTGCTTTAGAAAATTAAAAACATAGCACAAATGATTGTACTCTACTCTACTCTACAGGTTATCATGATCTGCGTAAAGAGAAATGGAAAGCTGATTCACATGTTTTTACAGTGATCAGCAATAAGAAATGCACTAATGAAAACATACCTTTTACCTAAAAAGCTAAACTACAGCCATATACTATTCTATGATTTATGAAAAACTTCAAAATATCCAAATGTCAGGCTTCACTGTACAGTTGTCAGTTTTAGTCTGACCTTTTATAAAGGGACACTGCAGTATTTAGTACAAGTTGCTGATGCACTTTTTTTGAACATCTGATGTCTTACAAAAGTAACATCTTGCTAAACTATTATACATCCAAATAACTACAATATCTGAAGAAGCAAGGCTGCTTTTTCAGCCACAAAATACGACAAAAGCAAGGCCTGTTATGATGGTCATGAGGAAGTCTTACAAAGCCTCTGGAACTAAAGGCAACTAAGAATGTTACATTTGGTATATTATAATCTCACCCTCATATCATATTAAACAAGCCTTGCTTTTATCTACAAAGATTTTCTATGTACAGTACAGACAGGGTATAGTTCAATCCTCTGCTACTGAGGTAGTTAACCAACCCTTTAAAAAAGGTTCTGAAAAGAACCACTATCTGGAATGCCTGACTAACCAGCTCTGATGATTACACCTGAAACTGCTGTATCTGAACACAATTCATAAGTGATTACTATATAGACAATCATGATTAACCTTCATGAGCAGAAATATATTTAAGGATACCAACGATGGTATTCATCTATACCACTGCAATAAAAATTTAAATGCAAGAATTTGTGAATACCAATTTTGGAATCCTTAACTAAGAAAACTTGGGGGATAAATCTACTTAAAGCAGATTTTTTTAAAAGAACGACTTTATTCTTTATTAAGATACCATGCTAAACGTTAAGGATTTTGTTGAACACATTGGGGAAATAGAGTAGCTTTAGTTTAATAACTTGCACTGCAGAAAAAACTGTTAAAGAAATTCATTTCAAAGTCCAAGTATTA